TTAGATCAGTGTAAAGAGATGGAAGAACACAATGTTTTGCCAAAAGACGTAAATAAATGAAATGCTCTACAGTATGTAGTAGAAACGGAGGCTCAAACTCTGAAATCACTACTACTTGCACAGATTTAGTGATCCTAGTAAACAATTGCTCACTTAATCGAATGAATTTAGACCTCTGAACAACACTGCAGTCTCTCTGATCATGTGTAAACGTGTGGAAAGCTAAAATCTCCTGTCTGCTACCATGGAAACAGAGCGCAAGAAAGATGGACTGGGCATGCAGGTTTTAGGCTGAACATAAGGAAGGAGCAGAGACACAGAGACAAGTTTCATTGTGCTGCAGCTGTGAGATCCTGTCACGTCTTCCTGCATGTGGAAACAATAACATGTAGGAACAAGCATTGTTTTTGCCCCTAAAGCATTTCCTGTTAAAAAAAAAAAAGACAATGTGAGGGAATTTGCTGCTGTTATCTAAGCGTCAACCTCCGGGGCTAAAAAATGAAGTCAACGCTCAAGTGGCTAAAACTGCAGTTCCTCGAACAGCCACTTGAGGCTGGCTCCAGAAGCCAGTCAATCCTCATAGACCCCCATGTTAAAATGCCCGAATGCTCCATCACAGTAGCTATTTTATACGGTCTATGCTAATATCAAGAGGTGTCTTTGTGGGTTGTAAATTACAAGTTTAATCATGATAGAAAATTGTATCGCATCTTTGAACATTCATTCATTCATTTTCTGTAACCACTCATCCTGTTGGGGTAGCAGGGGGCCTGGAGCCTCTCTCAGCTAACATTGGGTGAGAGGCAGAGTACACCCTGGACAGATCGTCCAACACGTAGAGACAGACAACCATTCACACTCACATTCACACCTACAGTCACTTTAGAGTCACCAGTTAACCCACACTGCATGTCTTTGGACTGTGGGAGGAAGCCGGAGTACCCAGGGAGAACATTCAAACTCCGCACAGGGACTCCAGGAACCCTCTTGCTGTGAGGCAACAATGCTAACCACTGCGCCACCAATGACAATATATGCTGATATCACAAAGTCTGATGCGATTTCAGTTTGGTTTAACTCAGGTCATATCCACACAAAGATGGAGCCGATTTCGTTTTTTAAAAGTTTTCCATAAACACGGAATCATCTCAAGATATGTGTACGTAAACATGAAACCACTGAAAACGCTGTAGTATATTTGCAAGGCCTGTAAGTGACGCTGCAATGCTGCCACAAAGTACACCAAAAACAGAGAATAAGAAATTGAGCATGCGCATAAAACTCGTGCGATGTAAATAAACACGAAGAAGAAGATGGTGGAAAATACAAATGCCAGAGGAGCCCACTTTGTATGGACTGACGACGAGGGAGAGCTGCTACTTAGGGTCACACTTGATTACAAAACTAGCACAAACACAACCACTGCATAGTCAGCCATTGTGGTTGTGGCGCGTTTACACCTAGCGCATACGGGTTAAGGGAGAGGTGGGGTTATGGCGTCATCGCTTCAGAAAAGAGGTGTACTGTGTTGTAAATACGGAAATGCGAAGGTGGTGTCTTCAGATTTTTTCACTCTGGGACCCAGTTTCAAAAGTTGGCGTATTTGGGCTCCTAAAACGCTGGTTCCGTGTTTACGAAAGGTCTATACGATAAAAAAAAACCCTTTGTGGATACACCTAATCTTGTCTCCGTGTGGACATGGCCTCAGGGACCTGTGATCAATATGAGATGATATCAGTAAATATCCTTATTGTCTTTTTCTCACTAGGCTGCTAGCACTGAAAGTTTCGGAGGGAGGTGTGCTTGGACGGGAATGGTAACACAGATGTGCCATGGAAATATCAAAATAAAGGCAATATGGATCAGTGTTTTCACTTTGCATGAATACTGTTGGATTATTGATCACTAAATTGATACTGTATTTGTTTTAAAAATTAGATACTGATTGCAGTACGCCAAATTTCCAGTAACCAAACTTGTGAAAATGTCTTTAAATGTAAGAAGGACTTGACCATCCTTTCTTCTCACATTCTGACTCATTTCTTATAACTTTAAAGGATTGTTTGAATACTTCTCGAAACAGACCCAGCTTCGTCACACACAAAAATAGAAAATTAAAACACTGTATTCAACCCAGACTGTACAGATTAACATCAGTCACATGCAGTGCATTACGTCTAATTTGAAACATAGCAACAGTCTTTCATAAATGTCCGACCAAAACATGAGGTGAAGTGGTAAAGGGGTTTACCATCAAACCTTCCTTATACTATGTTTTACAGCCATTAAGATACATTGTGATGTAGGATCCTGAAATATAGCTGCACTTAATAGTACATTTGTTTTTACGCTTTACCATCCTGCATGTCACACTACAAATCAATTAAGCTATTTCTCAGCCACTCAGGCAAAAATAACACTACAGCATGGTTGTTAATATACAGTATAAAGCCCCTTGGGGAGCAGCATTCCCAGTGCTGTTTCAGTCTCAAAGCACATTACGCATGTAGCCATAGGCAGTCTCAGAGGCATCTGTGTTCTTCGTAATGGGCTGCAGTCAGTCAGCGCCACAGCCGGTCCAGAGGGTGCCCGTCACAACACTGGCAGATGGCCTCTTGGTGCCTCAAGCCAAGTTCACCACAATCAGCCCTTAGTGTCATTTCACTGTCATTTGCATCCCTTTTTCACGGACAGTTATCAGGTCTTGACGGAGGAGACCTACATAAGCAGCATCAGTAAAAACAGGGTTACTCAATACAGCACGTGTACATATTTATGCTCTGGGATCACGTTTGATCTTTCCAACATGTCTTCCCTTGTAGTGTCCATGGGCAAATGACGCTGAACCCTTTAGCTGCATTTACGTAGCAATGTTGTCACATTAAATCATCCTAAGGCTATATAATTCTATCATTTATCAGTTTAACAAAGTGTGGACAGAGTGTAACAGGAGATAGCAGTGTCTTGTAATGTGTATTATTGGCTACTGTTTTCCCCAAAGCACACATTGTTATAGGACACTGAGGAGCTGTTGTGTGGCAAAACTGCACATAAGAATGGGAGAGGACTTGAGGGGGAGGGGGCGGCACTGGCATCACAGATGTGTGTAAGAGTATAAATAAATTTTGTGGCCTTTTGCTGTTTCTTAAAAGGGCAAAGCGAAAAAAACTACCATGACCTTTTTCCCATAATAAAAATGACCTTGGAAATGCGACCTTACGGGAAAGAGGATGAATTTGTGCCAGTCCCTCGGCAGAGCCTATTGTTGTTGTTACAGCACAGCTGTTATAGTCTATGGACATTAGTGTTACGTAATCTCACCCCCCTCGTGAAATACAGCTGTGTCCCTGTGCAGCAGAATGAGGTAGAACAGGTTCTCTTTTTTTCCCGTCTTCTGTAAATAGATGGTTAATTATACTTTTTTTCAGTGACAGCCTCCAAACAGTGCAGCCTCGTCACTGCAGTAGTTTACACATTCAGTGAGGTCACCAAGGGCTGAGGCACTTACTAAGTGTTTCTCACTCCACACTGCAGTATGTTATGATCACAGTGGGCACATTTGTTTTAATCTAGTTATTAAAAATCCTTTTCTTTTTTCTTTTCTTTTTTTTTTACATTTACTCAACTTTTTCTCGTCTGCATTTTTTAATATAAACTTCACATCAAAAAGCAGAGGCTGTACTCATGTACTCAAAACATCTGTCCGATCACCCAGCAGCTAAAGCTACAGTGCTTTCAACAATCAGCCTCAACGTAGCTCAGGATCAGTGTGTACATGTCGTCTGTGATTACAGCATAGGGCAATAGGGGACCCACACTTGTCAGCAGACAGGTAAACCTCACTGTAATGCATTTTTTCTAACATAACCTACCATAACTTTATGCTGTGTTATTCCCAACATTTATTTTAAAGCAATTCTGAATTCGGCAGCTATTGATCTATTACAGCAACATAGTCAAACTGTGAAATTGAGACACAACACTAATCCAAAATCCAACACCTTAGGCTCATTTGACGAGATGGGACTTGCCTAGTCGGGCAGGGGAGATTCTCACAGCTGCTGTGGCTACAGCTGGAGGCAGAGTGGGGAGGATGTAGTCCCCCTCAGGCTTGGTTGTGCAGCTGCAGGGAAGGAACTTTTGCGTGCACCGTACAGGTTTAGACAGGACTGCAAGGGTGGTCCTTTTAAGGTAAGGGTGGGTTGCGGAACCTTTACGAATTTTGATATTTTCCCTAAGCATGTTGCATGGATAGCTTTGCCTCTGGAATCAAAATAGAAGCTTCGTGAAGCAGCCCTAAGATTTGATCAGTCATTCCAGGATGGGAAAGACAGTAGCTACAAAAGCTTAACTTTGTATGTAATGAAAATGTTAGTTGTTCTGAAAGAATTTTACCTTACATAGGGAATTACAGTTGGTACATCCTTTGTTCTGAAGCCTGGATTTTCTCTCTTAACACTTACGTGCACAAGCACCTGAGACCAGAACTTAAAATTCTTTCAGGATACATGCCATTTTAACTCAAATATTCCACTGCCTTAGCTGTGGGAGTGCAGTTTGGGAAAAAAAAATGGAGTGAGCTGTTCATGCATTAGCAGCAGAGTGTCAGTGCTTTTTAGGTCAGTTGGTAACTTCACTGTGCTGGCACTAAAGACAGATGCAACGCCTACAAAGTGCTCCCATGCTGTCGCAGCTAGCTGAGATTAAAAGACAAATTCATTATCAGTTTGTGACTCAAAAGTGGTTGAAAACACACCAGGCAGCTATAAAAAGTGCGGCTCACCACACTAATTAGTTTTCTGCAGCCAGGAAATGTGTACACGTGTTCAGGCGGAAGAACTATGCAACTTTTAGTTTGGCTACACTTTGCCGCAAAATTAAATGGCCTCTCTCCATGACATTGCCACTGCTTAGTGTGTTTTGGCGCTATAGCCCAGGATGGGTAGTATAAAAAAAAAGAAAAATCCCATAGTGTAAAACCACACAAGGACATATTCACATCAGTTTACATTTTTTATTTTGCATATTTAACAAACTAGTGCATTCCAGATTTTGATACAAAACACACTGCTTGCCACGTGGACATTCACAAGTGGCCAGAGTAGGGTTACAAATCAACGTGCAAGTCCCTCGGCTGTTTCATGACACGTCTGCTCTTAAAGACACCACACTGGAGATGCTTCCACAGCAACAGATGACCAGGAACCCACGCTGACATCAGGCCGCACTCTTACTGTACAGGGGGTGGGGGCGGGGCATCAAAGCGAGTGAGGGGTGCAGTGATTTTTACAGTCATCGTTTTGTCAATTAGTAAGTACCTCAACTTTGAGTACATGTTGGAATAGGTTGAATAAAAAGGCAAGACTTGTGGAATGTACAGTGCACAGAAGGACCGCTCTTCATTTGTCCGACTTCTCCTGTTCGATGGCTGCAACAGAAGGAAAAGTTTGCAACATTAGCTCCAAATATTAACAGCAACTAAATGTTCAGGATCAAGGTCATTAGGTAGAGCACATACTTTCTTTGGTTGGCAGTGTGTTCTTCTCCTGGGTTTCAGTCTTCTTCAGCTTGGACTTGTCAAAGGCTGTGACCTCTGAGATGTCAGGTTTGTCAGCCATGTCTGCGAAGGCTCTAAAAACAGGAGACCATGAATTTCATTCAATTGGGTTCAATCAGAACACACCTGGGCATGTAGACAGCTAGTTAGGGTCAGAATTAAAAAGATCTTGAAGGGCCATTTACACGATCTGCCGCATGTAGAGACAATTGTGGTTAATGACAATGCAGTTCAGTCACAATACAGTCGCATGTGCTTGTGATGAACAGCGGCTGACTTGAGAAATGCTTTGTGTCAGTTGGTGAGCGTGTGCAGCTGAGGGGCCACCGCCCTCTAATGCAATCTACATGAGCAGACTGGTTGCCTCCAACCACAGCAAACCCCCTCTGACCAATGAAGCAGAGAAAAAAGAAGAAAAAGAAGAAAAAAAAAAAAAAGGGCAGAGCACATGCACTGAACCTAACACACATTATCCAGCTTACTGACACAGCATGCAGTATTTGTTTGGCCTTGTAGACTACATATCAGAAAGCATGTTATGTTATAGCATGTCCTTTAGTTATTCTGTGACATTTCCTTTGATTAAACATGCAACGCTGTATTTTCCGATTAATCCCAGCAGGTTTTAAACACCCCGTGCGCGGCTGACAGTCTGATAATGAGCCAGGACAATGTGAGGCGACGAGGGGAAACCCCACAAACTAATTAAAACACTTAATCGGTAAATCTTGAATAAAACCAGGCTTAAAACAAACATGATGAAATAAACACGCAGACACACTCACCTGTGTTTCAGGCAGAGGATCTGGCAAGATGCACGTCTCGATGGCGCAGGAGCAGAGTGATGGCTGCAGCGTCAATCACACCATAAATACTGCGCAGTATGCAAATATTCCTCTGACGTCACGCCCACTGCTTCCAAAGATTACTTCTGTACAAATATATTGTTTTTCTGCTATAAGACTTAAAAGTATAAAACGCTGGATGTGCTCTAACTGTATTTTACATTCAACCACGTCTGCGCATTTACTTGAAACTAACAGAGACCACCTGAATATGCGAGTGACGTCACTGTATCGGGTTTCTCTTGTCTTTAAAGAAGGATTGTATATCATCACAGCGGTTCCAGGTGTTAGTTCGTGACAAATAGCCGACAAAAATGTGCAGGCTTCAGAGTGATTTACGACTGAGACATGAGTTGACTGGTTTAGGATCAACTTGCACAAAGCGCCATATTGAAACTGTGTCAGGGGGCGACACCTTGTGGTCAAACAACGTCATAACCAGAAAGTGTAAATGGGGAACTGCAGGTGAGAGAGAGAGAGAGAGAGAGAGAGAGAGAGAGTTTTTGTTTTGATTCTTTGGTAATTTAGTCTAGAAAAAATAGCAGTGAATACATAAAACGAAGGAGGGTGCATCATATTTTATTCTGACCTTGAATATATTGTCTGGGTTAGATGGAGACCAGATAACAAACTTAAACATTTACATCAAAAATTTACATATTGTAAGGTTTAAAAAATAATTCAATTCAATATCATTCAATATCATTGTTACTCTGTGTAGGCATTATGATGCCAGTTGGTAAAAAATAAAATAAAACACAATAAAATAAAAAATAAAAAAGTTCTTCCCCCCATGCAATAGACCAAATAAACATGATTTCAATAAATTAAGACTTTGGGGTACATTATGTTAAAGCAACAAAATGGTTTAAATTTCAATACACTTATCCAGTACTCATGGAAAATATTCAAAAACCTTTAAGATTAAAATTGCAGGATTAATGCTGGATTCACGCCATTTAAAATGAAAGAGAAATAATTTTTAAAAAATTACTCTTTTCATAAGTTTGTTTGTCTGAGACGACACTGTGGAGCAACCCATAGGAATGAATGTATTAAAGAGTGTCATCAAACTTCACATAAACCAGACTATGACAACTCTCCTCAAATCAAGATAGTGAGTTATATTTCAGTGTCTGATTATTTGTTTTTCATTTAAATGCTTCTTCACTGGTGTGTGTCTTTCCTGACATACTGTGCCTTGCCGCCATTTGTTATGTAGCTGCTGAGCTGATGGCAGCTTGTTTATTTTCTCACTTTAAATTCCTAATTCATCCTCACTCACATCAACTGGGAGCATGTTTTTTACCTTCTTCTTCGTCAAAATAATATTGAATTTATTCTGTCAATGGAAGAAAAGTATGTGTAAAATACAAGCAAACAGTATGCTCTGCAGAGAGGACTCACAGAATGCACTGTTAACTACACAGTTTCATAGCCTGAACTTTATTGAAACTAGTTATGATGATTATTATGCATTTGAACAATATATAAACTTACATACACAATAACAGAAAAATGTCATGGTGGGAATCCATAAACATATGGTGTTACTTCAAGGCAACATATGCATTTTAAGAATTTTCTATAACTTAATTATCAAATAAAGCACATTAAACAATCAAAAATTAAACCACTCATTTATTATTGTGAATCCAGTTGTTTTCAGATTGTAAAATAACAGAAAAAGATGTTTTCAGACCATTTCTGTGGAGAGAGATGCTGGAGCTAAACCATGTGAGGAACGCCCCCCAAAAAGGGAACTTAACATGGCCTTCAGAGAGTCATGTGATAGTGACAATGCAATTAGTTTCCCCGGGGGGGCAACTTTTTAGAGCATTGCAGCATAACTGAGGAAGTATTGTGTGAGTGTAAACAGACAACAATGGGTATGTTACCAAGAGGCAATACGGCACCATAGAGGGTTAATGTCTTTATTTGTCCTCTATTTAGCCCCAGGCAAAGTGATAAAACTGGTCATGGAGCAAAGCAGTGTTGATGTAGAACAATAGTTTTAAAAACAGATATTATTTTCCACGTGTTAAAATCCACAGTTTGAAGTCAGGGTCGGGTTCACTTGCTGCTGAAGTACTTTGAATACGTCTTGTTGTACATCACCTGGTTGTCCACTCTGACCACATTCCTCAAGTTTTGCCAAAACCAGGGCTCTGCGGCAGCTGTTCTGGGCCACTCCACAACACTCTCCCCGCACAGCCTCCTCCTCAGGCGCAGGAAGTGAGAGTGCTGCAGGACGGGCTCCAGCATCAGCAGCACGATCACATCCACGTTTTCATCAAGCAGTCTTTGGTGGGCGAGATATATCGCCAGTTTAAACACCCCAGTCTTAACGTAGCCCTCTGTTAAGACGAACAGGGTCTTGCGACTGTATCGGATGCTCTGAGCAAGGTTTTCCACCAGAGGGACACCAGGGGGCCAGTCCCTCTCCTCCAAACACAGAGGAAGATGCTTCTCTCCTTCTTCTTCTAGTTTCACACGCAGATTCCTCATCACCCACTCAGAGACGTGTGGATCTCTGGTGTCGTAAGTCACAAAGACATCATAAACACCGTCTGATGAGTTCAAGGATCTGTATCCCTTTAGCTTAGCTTTCATATAGTGTAGGACATAGGAGGCATCCCAGTAAAATAAGTGAGAAACTGTTGCCACAAACATAAAAGCAATAATGAAGAGATTTGTTAGAATGTAGCTCAAGAATGCCTCACTGTCATTTACACACTGGTTGATGTCGAAGTAGATCAGAACTTTGTCCTTCTGGTTCGCTGGTGTAGCGCACGTCACCTCTGTGGTCAGTCTAGGAATCTTTAAGTCACTGTTTTCAATCCACAGAATGAATTCTAATGAATCGCAGGTACACTGGAATGGATTTTTCTGCAAGAACAAAGTCTGAAGCTGAGATTCAGGTCTTGGTAGGAAGGTGGATTGATTGATGATGGTCAGTTTGTTGTGGTTAAGGCTAAGGGTCGTAAGGCTCTTTGCACCCTTAAGAAACCCACTGTCCAAGCGGGAAATGTGATTGTGACTCAGGTCAAGAAAAGTCAAAGTGAGGGTGACGTTTGAGTTTATACCTGTCACGTTAGATAAGGAATTGAAGCTCAGGTCTAACATTTGAAGTTGATGGAAAAGCTGGAGTTTGTCCCATTTGAAATCACTAAGCTTGTTGTGACTTATGCGTAGTTTGGTGAGGTTACGTGGCAAATGTTCATAAACCTTGTCTGGAATCTTTGAAATTCTGTTCTGGGATATATCTAAGATTGTCAAATTAGTAAGATGAGTAAAAAGCATTGTATATGAACCATCCCTTTCTTTCCAAAGAGTCCCAAGATAGTTATTTGTAAACTGAAGTTCTGTTAATGATTTGCTGTACATCTGTTTTGTCGTTAACGTGTCAATGGAGTTATGACTCATATTCAGCACCCTCAGAGCAGGCAGATTTCTTGTAAAATTTAAGTTATGCGTTACCCCGAACGCTTTAAAGTAGTGAGGGTTGTTACTGAGGTCTAGCACTTGTAGTTTCTGTAGTTCTTTGAAAGCGTTGCCATAGGCCAGATCAATCTTATTGAATGACAGGTCCAGGTATGTCAGATTAGGCAGCGAGGAGAACTCTGTTCCATTAAGTGCCGCTGAAAATCCATTTCCTGACAGGTTGAGACATGCAATATTTCCATAGCCCTCGAATTGCTTTGGAGAAATGAAGAACAGATTATTCGAGCTGAGGATTAGCACTCGTCCAGATTCAAAGCACTCCTCCTTGATAAGGCCGTGTGACAGCTCATAAACTAAATCTTTCGGATGGGGTCTTATGAGCGGTGCAAAGGAAAGGTCCGACCTCTGATTGTATCCATCACTTTGAAATGGGGGACTTATCCCTGGAATGGGATACAGCCTGTTTTCTGCGAGGTATATCGTTTTCAGGTTCAGGAATTTGCTGAATATGGTGGAATCAGAGTGAATAATGAAATTAGTCCCTAAGTTCAGGGTAGTCAGATTTTTGAGCTTATACAGAGGTTCAAGCGTGCCTGGTCCAATATTCTGGAAGACCAACGCCTCCATATGCAAAGTTCTGAGTGACTCAAGATTTGAAAACTCTTTTGAGAGATTTACTGTCGTAGGGTAGTACTTGAGAGCAAAGTTGAACGAGAGATCCATTCTCTCTAACTTTGGAAGATATTTTAGGTATGTTGACTCTTGAGTGATTTCTTTTAGCAAGAAGTTAAATGACAGGAACAATTGTTTAAGCTTGTTCAGACTCACAAACCAGGAGGGATTCAGGTAGTCCAGTGAGTTTCCTCCCAGGTTCAGTGTCTCGAGCTGTGTTAGATTGTGAAATGCTTCAGGATGGATCGTAAGAGAACCATTTTGGCAAGGAACACAGGGATAGGGAGCATTATGACATCTTTGACAGTTCCCTTGTATTTTTAGGGCTTTTAAATTTTGTAGTCCAAGGAAATCATATTTAGATATGTGCTGTATCATGTTAGAAGCCAGAATTAACACGCTCAGTGATTGGGGTAATCCTTTGGGAACGTGAGTTAAGTTGTTAAAGGACAAGTCCAGAGTGTCCAGTTCGGTCATGACTGCAAAACTGTCCTTCATAATTGTAACAGATCTCCCACAAGGATTCCACGTGTAGCAGTTTCTGGATAACAATAACTTTGTCACGTTTGTTAAGCCAACAAGGCTACTGTTATCCAAAAACATAATCTGGTTATAGCTCAGATCGAGGATTTCCAAGCTAAGAGGGAGGTTGCCGGGAATTTCATTCAGACAGTTGCCGGTCAGACTCAGTTCGTGCAGTTTGGTCAGATTTTTGAAAGTGTTCGCAGCAATGATCACTGCTTTGTTCTTGTTCGCCCAGCTGAGATCGAGTCGAGTCAGACTCGGCAGGGTGGAAAATGAATCAGCTGAAATATTCTTGATTAAATTTTCTGATAAGTCGAGCTCAGTTGCATTGCTGGTTATCCCCAGAGGGACTGCGTTCAGACGACGTCCTCTGCAGTCAAACAGGACCTGAGAGGTATTGTAGGATGTGACATCACAAGGGAACTGTTGAGACATCCATAGAGGTTTGCATGCAGCAGACTGGGTCTCATGGTGGCAACACAGACAGAGCAGCAGCAAGTGCATCCAACATGTGACAGTCTGTAGACAAACAATAGAGTTAGTTAAATGCAGCAACTTTAACTTATAGTCAGTGTCATGTTGTCATGGATAAATGGTGCATCATACAATACATAATGAATTCTGTGTTATATTAACAGAATAAGTTTGGTATTTTTCAACCTGGACTCTTTTTTTTAACCATGTTTTTGTGTCTGAGTGACTAATGGTGATGGCAATTTTTAAAATTGGTCCAGTTTTGAGTGAGAGTGCTACCGGCAAAACAGGCTGCAATGTAATCACTCAAGGCGTGTTTGCACTCTCAGTTGATGTCTAGTCAAAGTGCTTGTTTTTGCCACCAACAAATTCAGATTATTATTCTGAGTGTCTGACAGCATCGTGGACAGGACCCTTCAGAGGTCAATCAGAGGTTGATTGACCAGAAACAACCCTGAAATGGCTGTTGGCAAACTCACCCGACTCCATTTAAATAAACAGTAATTTTATCATTATAAAATGCACATCATTCAAAGTCAGCAGAAACAAATGAAACTCGCAAAAAACATTTTGGTTCATCTTTCCGCTGTTCCATCAATCAACAGCTCTGGTTTCCAGCCCTTAATTCACCCAGGTAAAGTATGTGGGCTCTATACCAGGGTGTCTGCAGGTCCTTAAAAAGTCTTAAAAAGTCTAAATGTATAAATATTAAGCCTTAAAGGGCTTTAAAAAGTCTTTGATTTAAATTTGTGAGATTTTTACTTTATTTGCACTCACCTACTGGCAACATGTAGATGAATCTAATTCACTCAAGTGACCATATTCTTACATAAAACCTTCCTCTGCACTATAAGTACCTTTAAACTCACAATGCTTAAACAAGACAAAGATGATTTGTCCAAAAATCAGTCTTAAATTTGGTTGAAAATGAACTTGAAATGGTCTCAATAAAGTATTTAATGTAAGTGTCTGATATCTGTAGACACCCTGTATAAATGCTAATATTACTGTGAACATAAATTGATGGTGCAAACATGCCTCAAGTGTCTACAGTGTAGCCTGTTTTGCTGGTGCTGGTGCTGAAGCTGGTGCTGGCTGCAGGACAGAAAAATGTGGGGAGATTGGGGCCAAATTGGAGAAAAACAAACTTACCCTTTAAAACACAATCAGAATGGACAATTACAGCAACCAAAATCTGTTCCAGTGTTCACATGTGCACCTAAGGTTTATGTTTAATTGCTGTTCAGAGTGGTACCACTTGTATCCAGAGGGTGGCAGCGTTCTGCAGGTTAAATATCACTCAACTGGAATAACCACCCTGGGTATTTTGAATTATGAATTCTGTTATCTCCTTACAGCCAGGCTATGTAAAAGTTGCTCAACAATGGCTATTGAATATTTAAAGGGGAACACCACCTGAATTAAGAATTCAAATGTGTTATTTCCATGGCCTAGGAAAGTTCAATCAGTATTTGTGAACATGAGTTACTATCTCTCAAAGCCAAGTACGTCTCAAACTTTTAATGTCATCAGACAAAGTCTGGAGCTGCTCCACAGACAATGAATGGGAGCCTGATTTTATAGACTCAAAGAATATTTGGTGTCTTTTTTATACCCAAATGAGCTTCATTCAATTGTAGTCTTAGTTCTGAAACAGAAAATGTACCCATACACTCAGAACACTCCCCTGGGTGCTCTCAGTGTCATCTGTAACATATTTCCCAATTAATTGTCACTGGAGCAGCTCTAGACTTTACATCTATGACATCATAAATGTGAGTTTTAGCACACTAGTTTTTGACTTTGGGAGAGAGTTGTTCATGTGTGCTAATATTATTAAAGGCCAGTGTCTTAGACCATAGGAATAACGAATGAATTTTAAATTATGGGTGTAGTTCCCCTTTGAAGCGACTGCAACAGAAGCACGGGTATAGGGAAAAGTCATAAAGTCATAAAGTGAATTGACTCAGTAATGTCAGAAACGCAACAATATGTGTCTAAACATTATTAACCGCTATAAGCTACTGGTCATACCAGACCAAATACAGCTGTAGCCACAATCCCCCTGAGTATATTGAACTAAACAAAGATGTGTTTTATTGCATATCATTTTTTTTTTAAGTAAGTTATTTCTACCTCCAAAAATTTCCCTTTATTTACATATAGGTAGCTACATGCTCATCAAATGGAAATATTTTTAATGTCTTATGAATTGTTGTAGACAGTTTTAACAAGATGCTAGCCTGACAAGCATGGTATATTTGGAATTTAAAATAAGGTTTTGTGGGTTTGAGCAATGTTTGGCTGCACACTCACAGCACAAGTTTGTAATCACTTGCCCACAGACAGGTCGCTGCTGTTATTCTATAAAAATGAAAGCAAGTACTGATTCTTTGTGCTGATACTGATACTGTTTCTTTGTGAGTAAACCAAGGTTATTATAGTTAACTAAAACTAAACTAAAACTAGGTGTGAAAAAACATTTTAACTAAACTACAAGTAAAATGTTAGAATAAAGCAAAATCTAACAATATTGTGTACTTACAAAACTAACAGAAATGAAAGGAAAATACACAGGAAATGTCTTTAATTTTAGTCTTCGTCAATTTGGTCAAATTTGTCAACTCACAAGCAAGAGGAGGCATTGGTACTCATGTGTTTTAAGACTGGGATGTCTACATGACTGTGAATCAATTACCTTCACAGAGTGTTGTGTTTGTATTGTAACACCTAAACTTCTTAAATCTTGCGCCAGACATATACCCATCATATTATAATAATTAAAACCTAGTGAATCTAATCAAATCAAATCTAAAACTTAACATTTTTAAACAATAACAACTAAACTGAAACAAGCAAACCCACTCTGGAAACTTACTGAAACTTAACTGAACTTAAAACGAAAATTAAAGACAAAATTAAAAATGAAAATTAATGAAAAAATACAAAACTATAGTAACTCTGGAGTAAACTTTAATGCACTGTATTTACTAAAGAACACTACATTATCAAAAATGCACAACAGTTTTCAATGAGTTTTCAGAGTCAAATAAATGTATGTGTATACACAGTTACACCAAGTAGCACTAGTGCCGCAAAGTTCATCAAGGAAGCACAAAATCATTACAGATTATATTACAAATACATCCAGTCAAAAAGCACATGCAGAAATCTGACGAGTAAAACATCTGACTTCCAGCAGATAAATGTAATCTCTGTCGTACATTGAGCAAAAAAATTAAAATATACAGAAAAACTTGTATCAATAAAACTCACCATTGTGCAAGCACTGTTGATTCTTCAATGACAACCTTGAAAAAAGAGATGACTTTTATGGCACTTTGCCTTTGAGTAAAACTGAAAATGGAGTATATGTAAAAAACTGTCTGTGTCTTGAGTGTCAACAAGTCTCCACAAGTCAAAATATCCCCCCACTCAATCTCTGTTTTCTTAATCTTGAAAATACAGCAAACTTTTTTAAAAATCCCCCCCGTTACTGAAGTCCAACGAAAGCAACAAACTGCAACAAACTTCTCAGAACAAGGCTCTGGGACAGAAGTAGCATGTGAATTGAAGAAGTGCATTTCTTTCATTTCCCCTTTTCATATGATGGCAGTTTTGTTGCCATCTCAGACAAAGTGAAAATTAGAATTATCTGTGGAGATGGCAAAGAGTGGCAGCCAGTTCCCCTTTGAGTGACAGTAAACAGGGAATCTAAAATTAGCACACAATAAGCCATTGAAATTACAGTAATATTCTTTTTCTTACATTTAAATGGGTTGCTCAAAGTTCACACATTGTTATTCACATACAGAAGTACATTTAGAGCAGTGCTAAAGGAAGGAGGAACTAAGTATGACAATTCATTGTCATTACAGTGTTTCTTTGAAGAGGTTGTTGTATTGTTTGTGACTCTCAGTTGCTAATACACTTCTTAGGCTGAACCAGAAGTACAACTGGGCTTGAGGGTTTGTTGGCCAATCCAGCACAGAGCGCTTGTACAGTCTCTTCCGTAATCTCAGGTACTTTGAATTGCAAGGTACTTTCTCCAAGAAGATCAATATGATAACGTCATCTTTTTCATCCATTAGCCTCTGGTGGGCCATGTAGAAAGCCGTCTTGAAGTTGCCGCTTTTGAGATACCTGTTGGTGAGAATGAACACGGTCCTCTTGCTGTTGTTGATGCTCCTGGAGAGGTTGTCTATCAGGGGGCATCCGGGAATCCAGTCCCGTTCCTCTAGACACAATGTGAGCTGACGGTCTCCGCTGTCCTCAAGATGAGGGCACATTTCCTTCATCACCCACTCTGACACCGCAGCATCCTCCTTGTCGTATATCACAAAGGCATCATAGGCTGAGCTTTGGGAGTACAGGCGGCCGTAACCTTTGAGCTTTGCCCTGCAGAAGTGGTAGATGTACCAGACGTCCCACAGGAAGAGATGGCTGGAGATTGATAGGGTGAGGAAGCTGAGGACGAGGGTAGTCATGAGGGTGTAGAGGATGATTGACAGGTAGTTGTACTGGCAGGCCAACAGGTCCACCGAGATCACAAGATGACCTTTTTGCGCCTCTGGACTAGCGCAAGTAACATCCGTGGCCAGTTTAGGGATGGTGACTGTGGTGCTGTTGAGCCACTTGATAAACCAAGTGGCGTTGCAAGTGCACAGGAATGGGTTGTTGTGCAGAAGCAGCATGTCCATCTGATCCATGACATCATCTGGAAAGCTAGATTTGACAATGTGTTGTATGTGATTAAAACTAAGATCAAGATATTTTAAGTGGAAAGCATCCTTAAGGAAATCTGGGGTGAGTTCCGCAATCTGGTTTTTCTGTAAAAGAAGCTTTTTGAGAGATTTGGGACAGGTTGTTGACAGCATGGCTGGAACAGTAGTTAAGATGTTGCCACTGAGATCTAAGACCTCCAAAGACTGTATAAGTTGTAGTTTCTTCCAATCAAAGGATCCATCTTTTAGTTTGTTGTTTTTGATGTAGAGCTCAGACAGTTTGTCCGGCAGACCGCTGAACACTCCCGGCGGAATAAAATTGAGGTTGTTATGAGAGATGTCAAGGACAGACAGATTAATTAATTTCTTAAAATAATTGATATACCTGGTGTCCCCGTCTCTCCACAACATATCTAACCGGTTATCTCTGAACTCTAACCTCTCTAGAGATTGACTCTCCAGCTCTGTATTGGTGGAAGTAGAGATCTTGTTGTGGTTCATGCGCAATATCTTGAGCTTTTTCAAATTGCTAGTGAAGTTAAGCATGTGAGTCAAGCCCTCGGACTCAAAGTAATGGTTGTTGTTACTTATATCCAAGACAACTAGATTTTTCAGCTCTTGAAACGCAGTTGAGTAGAGCAGGTCCAGCCGATTCCAGGAGAAGTCTAAATATTTTAAATTAGTCAGATAAGTAAATTCAGAGCCATTAAGGCTTTGGCTCATTGCATTTCCAGACAGATTGAGGCATCTCAGCTCTGTTAGATTTAAAAATCTCGAATGCAAGAAGAATATGTTGTTCCTGCTCACATCCAGGGTTTTTCCAAACTCACTGCATTTCTTGTTGACAAAGGATGTGACAGTTCCAAGTTCTTTGTATTTGTACTTGCAGCTGCGTGCATATTCATCATATCTGAAGTAGTGAATCTCTCTCACTTCCTTATTTCCGTACTGAGCTGCAGCCGACATGGGAGACCAGTGCAAGGGCTCTCCCCCAGAGAAACCAACAGCATCTTGGCTGTCAGAGGGGGAGGATATTTTGTTGTCAGACAGGCTGATTATTTTAAAGCTCTTTAACTCCATCAGAATACTGAGGTTTGCCATTTTAATAAAGTTTGTCCCCAGATCTACAACCTCCAGCTTTGTGAGCTTTATCAAAGGAGCAATGCTCTCTGGCTTCAGCTGCTGAAACACATAGCCCTTTAGTCTGAGAATTCGAAGGGATTTGAGTAAGGAGAAACTGCAGTTCAGCCTCAGCGTTTGAGGGTACCTTTGAAGCTCGTAGTTAAATGAAAGATCCAGTTCTTCCAGTTTGCCCAGGAATTGTGGGAAGATTGTGTATCCTATATCTGTTGCTAAAAAGTTTGACGAGAGATCGAGAACTCTCAGGTCTGACATGTTGATGAACCACTTAGGCAGCACGCATTTCAGGGAGTTGCTGTGCAGGCGGAGCGTCTTTAGTTTTGTCAACATTTTAAAAGCATCCCTGCTGATTTTCATAGGGGAATCATTTGGGCACGGGATGCATGGGAAAGGAGCGTTGTAACATCTAGGACAGTTTCCGCTAATATCTAGAATCTCAAGGTTAGTTAAGTTTTTGAAATCCTCGTCAGTAACTTCTTGGATTTTGTTGTTGTAAAGGTACAATTCCTTCAGACTTGTGGGAAGTTGATGTGGAATAAAGGATAAGTTGTTTGATTTAAGACTCAACAGTTTTAAATTGTTAAGCTGTAAAAATGCATCGTCCTCTATAGTATAGTTATTATCACATGGGTTACGGTAATAGCAGTTTTGACCGAGGTAAAGCACCTCAATATTTCTGATGTCAGAGAGGTTTGCTTTAGAAATGTTATAAATGTGATTCACTTCCAAACTCAGCAGGATCAGATTTGGAGGCAGGCCTTTAGGTATACTAGAGAGCTGATTACCATCTAGATACAGTGCTCGCAGGTTTGTCAGGCTGGTAAAGGTGTTTTCCTCTATTATCACACTCTCATTGCACATGCGGTCCTTGGGCCCAATTTTAATGGGCACACAGTTGCACCTCATGTCAATCTCAGTCAGGTTCTCCAGACCGCGAAAGGAGGTGGAGTTTAATTTAGGAATATGGTTGATGGTGAGCGTCAGGTTGGTAGTGTCTCTGGGGATGCCACGGGGGATGTCTTTGAGGCTCCTCTCTGTGCAGTCTACCGTCACCACGCTCCCGTTGTTGGCCTCGCTGACATCACATGGCAGGGTTTTGGGGTAAGAAACGCTAGCTGTTGATGTGGAGAGGCAACAACACAGGCCCAGGAGCGCCACATAAATCTATACAGAAATACAGGCAGTTCTATGAGAAATGTGTGCAGCTGGAAAGCTGATTATACAATTACTGAGAAAACACATAACACAAGAATCACATGTTAAAATCAACATTTTGAGTAAGGTATGTACAAATGCCACTTCATAATACAACTAGGAACTGATACAAGCTAGCGTTTCATTTTCCACCCCTGCATGTTGTTTACAGTCTTTTTCATCAAAGCCAACCTGCCATTTCACTACTTATAAATACAGTTCTAATGAAATTGGACCAGTTCTAATGAAATACAGTGTAGAAAACAAGATAACTGACACTCGCCTGGTGGAAGAACATCGTTCACGTGAGACGAGGTCCTGCTATGAGTCCTGTTGTCAAGCTGGTTCAGGTACTGAAAGAAGCGTAACATTGATGATCAGCTCGAAGATGATGAGACGAAAGTAACAGGTGGCAGGGTTAGCCCCTCGTCTGTATAATTAGCCAGCATCACTTCCCTATTTTCTCAAACCACACATATCTTCCATCTTTTATAATGTGTGCTTGGTAGCTGTTTACTGATTGCCTTTGTTTCACAATGGTGCAAACATATGGTTTATCCTGAAATGACTGTGAAGAAGTTTCCTTTAGAATAGAAGGGTCAAGGATAATAGTCTGTTGCTCTTATAGAAGAGTGTGACAACACAGCTGGAGGAGTTGTGGGTTATCCGGTGGCCGCTAACAGAAAGAGCTGTTTCATTTCTGATCAGCTTGCAGGGGAAAGTGAAACCGATGCTTGGGTTTTGGTCAACCAGTTTACATGTGAACATGCTATTCTGGCAACAGGCAGAATCCTCTTCCTTAAGCTTGGGCTACTTTGCGGCTCCACGGCTGAGTAACATTCACTCTAACACGTGATCTGTCTACACAGTATTTATGTTTGGTCCTTTATCTGAGAAAAACAATGCAGGAATAGACACTGCAGTTTTATAAAAAGCATCCACCTGGTCAATCCCTTTTAGTTAAACGGCAGGATGACAAAGAAGCTTTTTAGCCATGCTAGCAGCAGGACTCTTAGGATCAGTGTTGGGATTGATGTGTTACTGTAATTCCACCACTTTTTGCAGGAACTAGACATGCAACTAAATACTTTTTCAAATAAATAACGCAATTGAAATGACTGAAATTTATATGGGCTTATTACTTATTACTATTTACTGGACTTTTTTCCCCAGTTAGGATCTAATGTCACCCATAGTGATGAGGGGATCAGGTGAGCAGCGTTCATTCCCTTCCTCGTGTGTGTGTGTGTGTGTTTGATAGCCACAGAGAGAGAAACAGAGGTAGGGAAAGAGAAGGTGGAAGGTGGAAGGTGGACTATTGCACACAATGATTCTGTATGTCATTAGTAATGTTTGCGTTCTGTTATTCAGAATGCTACGGTAGCCACCAGTTGACCAGTGCAGTGCTAGTCACTCAACTTTGCAATGGCTCAGTAAATGGTGGGAATCAATCAGTCAATCAGCATTAAACTGTAACCATAACTGTACACAATAGCCAACAGTACAGGCAATTTGAGTGTGCTTTCCTGGAATTTTCCCTCCTTGAGATCAAGAACAAATTATGTCTGTAGTGATGAGTTGTAGCCTTTGTGCAGGATTTAAAACAGTTAATACCCTCGTGAATTCTGTAGCTTTTGTGTCTTAAAAATGGTGTTGCTAAAAAGTGGCTAAACATCATCACACTGAACACAACTTTGCAGCCTCGTTGGGGTAGGGATGTTAAGTCATGTAGTAGTGTAGTTTGTGCATAGCCTAATGTTAGCTTTTTACTTATAGCGATTGCATTTAGCCTTCACATATCATAAAAGTGGTGTTCATTTGTGGAGATTATCTTGCTGAACAAAATGTGTGAATATCATAAACGTTTGTTTGCCACAGAGCTTATTTTCTGCAATAATCCAAAATGCTTTTTGATGAGGGAACCACAGCGATGCTAACTTCCGCGCCGGCCTCCAAAAACGTCATCACTGGAGCACTCTAAAAGATGGATTGCACTGATGAATAATAATAACTTTGGTGATCATCATTGGACATTTCCATCAGCCTCAGCTGTAGTTTGTGTTCTGTGCTCATTAGCGTAGCATAAGTGTTAGCATGCTAACAAACTGAACTAAGATGGTGAACATGGCAAACAATACCTGCTAAACAGCAACACATTAGCAAACTAATGTTAGCATTTAGCTCAAAGTACAGCCTCACAGAGCTGCTAGCACGGGTGTAGGCTCTCAGATGCATGAGCATCACGCAACATGTGCTTGACTACTCACGCATAACAGTATGCAAACACTCTCTCCTGCCCCCTTAGTGAAATGGGCCATCATCATCATTAATGCAAAAAGCATTACCACCACTCAGGCTTGAGTAAATGGTGAAATCGTGAAATATTAAACACAGTTATAAAACTAAACATGGGTCAAGCAACTTTCCTGTATGAATAATGCAATTTGAGGAGCAAACTTGTGAAATTTAAAAAAGTCCTTCTGTTATTCTGTTTTTAATGCTTCAGAGATCAACTGGAAAGAGTATTAATGATCACGTATTTGCATATACCACAGCAAAATGAAATAAACAATATATCTCGTAGGCTAGTAAATGAGAGGATGGTCATAAACAGAACCACATTTGTGATTATTAAAACACAGACACAAATAATTTGAGAAGAATCTTTAAAAGTTTTAATCTTTTTAATGATGCTGACAAAAAAGAACAGGAAAGTACTCAGTGTTCATGTGTAAAGTATTCATTAAATTAAGGTGAAACCAGCAAATGAAAAAGTCATATGAGTTACTTGTTTGATCACGTCTTGTCCTGTGCAATGATTTGTCTAGAGCGTGTAGTATAGTGTATGCATTTCTCCAACATAATATATATTCGTACAATTTATAAACAAGGTACTAATAAGGTTGTAATAATCTACATGTTAAACCTCTAATATAACCAATAAATCATTAAAATAATCCCTATAATATAATATTAGATAATATACTTCAGAGGAGGGTCATATGCATCCTTATAGAGGCCTTAATAATCTATTTAAAACTTTATTGATTCATATTTTATTTTTACTTTACATAATAAAATATTGTATACACAAGGCAAGTTTTTTTTCACAGCAGTTCACATTGGTTGTTAAACCCATGTCTCTTATGTATGGCTTTAAAATCAATAATCAGGACAAAATAACAACAGTTTATTTGTTGAGCAGTGTTTTCAGTGAGTGAGTTAGTGCGTTTATAATAGCAGACATGGTGGCAGAGTGATGTGTCAATGCATTCACACTTTGGTCACTGGGGGAGCTTCCTGAAGCTGCCTCCGCAGCTTTCAGCAGACACACATAGTTCATGACGACCTCATCCACCTTGGCTACCACCTCGCGCCGCTCTCTCTCGGTGCTCAGGCCTTCCACGAGTGACATGCAGGCTTGCGTCAGGCAGCAGAGTGTGTGGAAGCTGTGCGTCAGAGTGAGCAGTAACTCCTCTGGGCTGCTGTACTCTGCACTCATCTGACTGCAGGCCCTGCCCAGCACTTTGGCCTGCATGAAAAGCAGCTGGGAGAACGTATCCATGTCAGCCTCATTGACCTCACGATTCTCACCTCTGGACAAGTGGCCGACGCTGGAACGCAACACGCCGACCATCTCTAAGGCATCCTTGCGTGCAAGTGCGAACCCTGTATGAAGGCTGTAGGTTTTTCCCTTCATTGAATTTACACGAGCTAGCCTCGCTTTGAGGCTCATGTCATTCGTAGCTGCAGCCGTGTTGCTCTGCTCAGATTTATGAGCAGCTTTCAAGACTGTGTTTTCCCCGCGACTGAAAGAAACCGAGCTGATAGAGAACAGAGCACGTGAGGGCAACTCTCTATCTTCCTCAACACCATCAGCATTTTTCTTTCTCCGCAGAAAGCAGTGACTGAACGGCCCACGACACCTCCACGTACCCACATCCGGTCTTGGTGCTGTTGACTCTGGCAGCAACAAGGCGGCTCCTTTTTGCAGCCTTCCATCAGATGAATGAGAGGCGACTGAACCCTGGGACAAACTCTTGGGCAGGGTTTTGGCAGAGAATATCCTCTGCACTTTAAGGGGATCTTGAGACTGGAAATTCTGACCACCACTCTTCCTTGTAAGTGTGGCTTTGGTCTTCTCTAACAGTGCTTCTAAGCTCCTGGAACCTGGCATTATGGTGCTCCAGCTCCTCCTGAGCATCCGATCCCTGCGTGGCTTCCTGAGGCTGCTTGTTTTAGGGTCACATGAAGATCCGCTTGAGGGGAAAGCCAGGGCATGTGGGTCGGGCTCGGGTCTGGCCTGTGTTAGCCCGCTGGGCTCTGTGCTACTTCTTAATGATGATGGTGACGTGGTTGTGGTGGTGGTACTGGTCTCATTACAGAGAGCTAAAGATGACTCTTCCCCAACCTTCTTCAGCTGTGTGCAAGCTACACTAGGGGTAGTAGGAAAACAAAGAGAACTGTTAAGCATCTCTCCAACACTACATATTCATCTCAGTGGTTTCACATTTGTAAGTAACAACACTTATATTGTACTTAAATGCACTGTATATACTGCACTGACGATATGCATCTTTGCCTGATTTTTCATTCTTATTAAAAATATCTCTGGATTCCTAATGGGTCAAATAGATGGACAAAAAACAAAAGTGACACAAAGCTGCAGGACTTTTAGACATAAATGAAAGTCTGTTACATTCAAGCCCTTGCCAAATGAGTTCACACAATGCTAATTAAGCCTATTACTGCCAGGAGAAGCTCTCTGTATTACGCAGTATACTGGAGTTGTGGTGTCTGTGGCAACTTTCCCTTGATGGCGCAGTGGAAACGATGCATTTTACATCAACCAGTCAGGGCTAAATGGGGCAAGAATGGGGGAAGAGACCATAGCGACAGAGCTAAGGAGTGATGGGAGCCGTAGCAGAGGAGCGATTAAAGGCAAAATGTTTGCACGGGAGGACTTGAAAGAGCGATGTGGCAAGCTCACCCGCAGGCATACATCATAGACATGCATCAACAGCATTTATGAAATTACTCTCAAAACAAAACTTCCACAAAGCAGGTTTGAGAAATCTCCTAAAATAAGGGCAGGAATGGATTTAAAAGTAGTGGTGCTCAACAAAGTATAAATATATTTTACATGCTAAAGTTGAATGGTCAACATGTTAATAATTACACCTGCTTAACCCATAGACTGTAAAAATGATGGTGGACATGACAGCTCCCTTAAAGTGAAGCCAAAACATCTTGATTCCCCCCTGGTGGCTGGCTGCAGTATAGGTCATAAACCCCGTC